GCACGCCCGTGCAGCGTGGGGAGGGGGCGCGGCGCCAGCTGTCCCGCCTCCCCGGCGAGTTTGCAGCGCTTCTTTGTTTGCAGCCGCGTCTTTTGTGCTTAGGAACCGGCAGAGGGTGATGGGAGCGGCCTTCCTGCCAGACGGGCTACCCTCGTAGGCTGGGGTGAGGGGCGCCGTGCCCCTCCCCTGCTCTGTAGTGCAGTGAGGACTGTGAGGAGGGGCGCCGGCCCTGACAGGATCCATGTAGTGGGAGAGTCCGCCTCGTTCGGTCAAGCCGCAACACCTCCGCGTGAGTGTGCAGAGGTGGGAAAGTCTGAGTGAGGAGGGGGCCACAGGTCAGGATCGGGGAGCCGGGTGTGTGACACTGCCAGGCATCCCAGCCCCACCCAGTGCCCTCTTCCTTCGTGGTGAGCACTTTCTTGGTTCGCTCAGACTTGACCGAGTCTCTGGATCCCTGGGAGCCCAGCCTGGGGTCAGGAATAGAAGCGTAGAGAGACCCTCGGGGAGGCCTGGAAGGGCCTTGTCCAGGTGCTGAAAGGCGCTCTCCTGCCCTCTGGTGCTAGGACCTGGCTTCTCGGCTCTGAGAAAGCCGCAGAAAAGACTGGAGAGAAGGGACTCCCTGGTTCCTGCTAGTCAGCAAGGACCGTGGGTCAGCCAGATTTGGGCTGGGCAGTGGCTCTAAGAAGAGAGGGGGAAGTGGGGACCTCCCGCCATTCTTCAGGATAAAGGCAGGCACAAGTCAGAGATAATCCTCAATTCTGCCTTTGGTACCCAGGCCATAGGTAAACACTGGTACTAAAACCTCTCAGTCCCCTGTGGGAAGCAGTGTCTGTAGCTGTGTCCAGCCTGTGCTGGGTTGCCTCGGATGGAGACCTCCAGCCTTGGTCTGCATCTCAGGCCCTGGGGTGGTGGGCTGGGAGTGGCTAGCTCAAGGGTTTCTCCTGCGCAGATACCTCACATGAAGGCTACTTTCGTGAGTCACAAAAGTTCAGTGTGAGGAGCTCAATTTCCAAGGGAAAAGCTGCGGGTAGAGCAGACTGTGATCCAGGGAAGAAGGGTTAGGCTGTGTCTTCTAAGTTCACCACTGAGCTCTCAGGTCAGCATGGCATCCAACTCTGTGTAGCATTCCCAGTAAATAGTATGGTGACCTGGGTCCACAAACCTCTGGGCTGGTCTGGGTGTCTGGTCTGGGTGTTCACTTCTTTCTACCTCTTCGTACACAAGTACTCTTCAAGTTGCTCTCAGCCCATGTGGTTTATCTATTATAACGGAAGTGTTCAGCAGCTATGAGAGGCCTGGAAGAAGAAAGAACAAACAAGGCACCAGCACCTGCCCTCAGGGAGGCTTGGGTAGCTGGGAGTGGTGGCATATGCCTATAATCCCAGCACTCTGGGAGGCTGAGGCAGGAGGATTGCAAATTTGAGCCTAGCACAGGGAACTCAGCAACTAAGAGCCTGTTTCAAAATAAAAAATAAAAAGGGCTGGGGATGTAGCTCAGTGTCAAGACTCTGGGTTCAATTCAATTCAAGAGAGAGAGAGAGAGATAGAAAGAGGGAGGGAGGAGAGAAGGGAGGAGAAAGAGAGAGAGAAGAGAGTCTCTCCTGGCTTTTCTTCATTTTTCTCTCCTGAGGGCAAAAGAAGACAAGCATCTGACAAAGATTGCAACCAAAGGGATTTAAGTGTGATCTGAAAGGAACTTCCTGAAGGTCCTAGGATTGTTGAACAGGAGGCTAGAGACTGAACTCTAGACTGTCTCAGTCCCACTCCCTTGCATGAGGGATGTGGGTGGTCATTTTCCTGAAGCCTGGAGAGACAGAATGCCCTGGGTGGAAGGATCAAGGCCTCCCTGTTGACAGTCCTGAAATCAGCAGCCATCTTGCTGGGTTAGCTGGGCTGGGGAGCAGAGCTGCTACAGGCAGAGGGGCTAGCCTCTACAAGTATTCCTCTTCCCCTCCCTCAGACTGTCACAGAGACCAGGTGCCAGGTTCACCCTGTGTCTGCCCTGGTGAGTTCATGTCTCTTTGAAATAGATAACCTATCCTGCCTTCAATCCAGACCAGGGGACTATAGGGCACTGACTGGGGTTAGCCATAATTCACCTACATAGGGACCAAGCCAGTCCTCTCCTTCCCTCAGGGATGCTGAAAGGACTGTGCCAATTAGCCTGTGTCCAGGAGCCCCTGGCTGGACCCTATCTCCAGATTTGGCCCAGAGTTATGTTTGCATCTAAATGTGCATTGATTACCCTCAGGGAACCTGGCTGTTTCCTTCAGGGGACAGGCCCTGGAGGTGAGCCTCCTAAGTTCATAAGGAAACTCCTGTAGACCCCTGGCATCCTTGCTGGGGGTCCCTGACCTCTGGTCCTTCTGGCAGGAGCCACCACAGACAACAGCCAGGCTTTCCTCAAGCACTTGGCAGCTGGGTTGCCTGGGTTTGGTCTTTGCTTGGCATAACTTCCTCTGCTTCACTCCAAGAAAGCCCTGCAGAGGCCTCCCAAGGGCAGGCTTGGCAGTGCTGGCTGACCACAGAGGGGGATGGCGTGGCAGCTGCAGAGCAGGTTCATGGGCTTGGCTCAGCCCCTGGACGCTCTTCTGGGAGTGGTGGGGTGTGGATGGGTAGGAGGTGCTGGTGTGAAGAGAAGGGGCCTGGCTGGCACCTGGTGGTTCTCTGGTTGCTCAGTGCCCTGCCAGGTTAGGGGGGACAGCCAGTTGTAGCCAGTACCTGGGCCAATTCCTCCTTGTCTGGCACAGCCCTGAGAATGGCACAGCCAGCTGTGCTCAGCCCTGGTTCTGGAGTCACGAGTCCTGGTGTTTCCTGGGGGTGAGGAACAGGCGACAGGTTGCACAGCTCCCTGTGGGAGGACACATGTGCAGGGAGGACCAGGGAGCTGGATTTTTCTCCTGGCAACAGGGATCTGAAAGGGGTCCAACTGAGGTCTCAGGAAAATATTCTTCTTCTTGGGTCTGCCTCTGCCATGGGCCTCCTTTCCTGTTTTCCCCATTCATCCTGATGTAGAGGCAGCCGAGATAGGGTTGTGGGGCAGCCGTAGATGCTCAGACACTGTCCTACTAATGGACCTTGGGGAGCACTTTGACCCCTCCTGCTCCCCAAAGTGGGCAGTCCTGGGTGTGGGCATCACCACAGCTGGTGAGCTAGGAAGCTCAGGAGAAGGAGCCACAAACCCCAGAAACCAAAAATCAATGTGCCCTGGGATGATAGGGAGGGGTTGCATGGAGACAGACTGGGTAGAAAGAGTCAGCAGCACTGGCCCCAGCCACCCACAGCCCCAAAGAGTGGAGGAAGCGCCCTGCCTCACTCCCTCAAGGGAGCTCAGACATACCTGCCCCTACATCCCATGTCTGGTGGCATAGCTGAGAAGCTATGATGAAACTAGACTGCAGCTGTCTTCCCTGGGGCTGGGAAGAGAGGGGCCACCAGAAGGAGCCAGGTGGCCAAGCAGGCAAGCCCAGAGCATGCTCTGGGCCCTGTGCCTTTCCTTCCAGCACCCAGGCTTACTCTATACGTTTGCTGTGTGCCTTTAAGATTTCACTTGAAAAAAGGATTCTGCCAGTGTTAAAGGAGTTTGTAAAATGTCCTCCTGGTGCATGTGGGTGTAAGGGGTGTTTAGTGCAAATATACTGGCAAGGAACATGTGTTATACATGAAGACTCCTGCAGAGCTAGAGGGTAGCTGGGCATGCATGTGCTTGCACGGATGGGGGTGCAGGGTAACCATGTATGTGGAGGTGGAAGTATGTAGGAGTGTTTCCTTATAGTACCTGTTCATACTGGCATGCATATCTGTATATGCACATATGTGTGCTCCTGAGTGCAGGCAGGGACATCCGCTGCCAGGGAACGCCAGCCCCTAAATGCCAAAGACTCTAGCTTTGACTCCAGCCAAGGCCTGCTGCAGTGAAGAGTCTCCATTCTCTTGGTGGAGAGGGCTAGGTGTTGGGTTTCATGGGAAACCTTTTCATTCCAGCAATTAAACAGCCATAGGCCTTTGCTGAGGAGATTAATGAATTCTTCCACCTGGGTCCAGGGCAAGGTGCCACATGTTCTGCAAGCCCTGCTCTGGGCAGGAGGGAAGAGCTGCTTTGGGGCCTGGCTGGGTATATGGGGGGGCTACATTGGTCCTGGAGTCAGTGGTGCCCTTGGGTGGGCTTCCAGGAGCACTCCTGAGGAGTGGGGAGGAGAAGGCCACCCCACCTGGCAGGCAGTGCCACTGTCTCTCTGGACCTGGAGCTGAAGGCACCTGATGGGAGGATGTGCAGCACCTAGGCCCCTGGGGCCGGCCAGGGTACCCTGCCAGCTCCCTGGGGCCTTATTAGCAAGAACTGCAGCAACATCTGGGGCAGGGCCAGGGGAGGCCTTCCAAACTCAGCTACAACTCCACAGGAAGGTCACCTGCTGATGTCCCCGGCCATCTTTTCCATCCCCACCCCAGTGCTCAGGACCCCACCTCGATCAATCCATCCCAGGACAGGCAGAGTACATTTATCTGTGGGGAGCTGGTGTGGAGGAACCACAAGGGGATCCCATGTACCTCTAAACCATAGCTCAGAGGTTGAAAGGAACAGGGCACCCTTGATTTTTGAGGGTCCCAGTATGCTTAAAAAATGAAGAAACATCAACACAAGGTTGCAAAGTGATATAAATAATTTAAATTACTTAAAATGTCTCATTTTGGATAAAGGAGTGCATACTCATGTTTTAAAATATTTAGCTGTTGCTGAAAGGCTTCTAATGAGAAGCGGTCTTCCTCTCTCTACCCCTTCCCAGCAGGTTGCATTCCCCATAGGCCACCACTTTGAACTCTGGACTCTTTCTTCTGTTATTTTCCTCCATAATTGTAAATAATACACTTTCACAACTATATCTTGGTTTACTTTATAGTTTTATATTTTATCACCTTCTTTTCATGCCCCCTCAATATACTCATCTACACATTTATTTAACAAGTATTTCTTGCACACCAGTTACAAATCAAGTGCTGCCTAGCAGTGAACCTAACAGGCAGGGCCTTTGGCTTGCTTGGTGTGCATTCTGGGAGAGGGAGATGGTGAAGAAGTAAACAAGCACTGACTGTAGGTTGAGAACGAAAGCAGGATGGGGCAGTGGATGAATGAGCAGCAACTGTCATCTCAGATGAACTGTCAGGGTGGACTAATTTAAGGAGGTAATATCCACGCAGCAACCTGAAGTGAGGGTGAAAGCTTCCTGGCATGATATATGGCTCAGTCTGTGTTGTTATAACAGAATACCTGATGTGGGCTGGGGATTTAGCTCAGTGGTTCCGCCTCCTGCCTCCCAAGTGTAGTCCTGAGTTTGATCCCTGATACAAAATAAAAAAAAAAAAAAAAAAAAAAAAAAAAAGAATACCTGTTAGGCTGATGCTGTGTCTTTTAAAGATCCACCAAGCTTCAAGCACATCAACCTTTGGGGGACAAACCACATCAAGCCATAGAACTAGGGTATGCACCAAATCATTCCAAGGAAGTCTGGAGACAGGAGAGGTGGCACCGTGGCGGCAGAGCAAATTGAGTTCCAAAAGAAGTCTAGAGCTGTTGGATTCCACTAAATACCATGGACAGCCACTGGGAGGACTTGAGCTAACGTGTGTCAGGTCTTGAGTGACATTTCACAAGATGACTTTAGCTGCCATGAGTGAGGCGGATCCAAGAGAGAAGGGTAAGGAGCCCAGTGAGGGGGCTACCGTCCTGCCATCCAAGAGATGAGTAGCTTGAAAGTGATGAAACAGAGGTCTCTTGATCTATGTTGAAGGTAGAGCCTACAGGTTCTGCTGATAGATTAGACGTGGAGAGTAAGGGAAAGGGAAGCCATAAAGACAATTTTAAAGGTGTTTGGAGGGGCTGGGGATGTAGTTCAGTGGTGGAGTACTTGCCTAGCATGTACAAGGCTCTGGTCAATCTCTAGCATGCAAAAAATAAAGATTGTTATTATTTATATGGAAAATAAAGTGAACTGTGGTATTATTTAGCAGATGGAAACAAAGGGGCAAGACAACTGTCCAAGACAGCAAAAAGCCAGAAAAGGTGAAGAAAGGCACTTCTGGAGTGAGGAAGGCAAGGAATTCAATGTGAATTCTCAATTGTGAATGTAATGATTTTTTACATACAGTATTTTCCTTGAAGATATAAATTACTATTTTCCCCAGAAAAAGTTTCTTTTTTACACCATGCACTGAAAGAGTTTCCTTTGTGTCTTTAGCATCTATTTGTATGTTTGGTTGATTTCACGCTGGAAGCTTTCCTCAAGAGTCCAGTCCAGCTTGGCTACTGGGGCATATTTAGGAATGGGCGTGTGGAGCTTACTGGATGCTACTGTAAGACGATTGGGTGGCAACTTGGCCTGTTCACTGTGGGACCCCCAAATGTCTTTATTCAGAGGTCCTGGGGGCCTTTAATTTCTCCAAGGAAAATTTCTCTAGTCTGTTGATCAATGGAATGGGGGTTGGGTGTGGGGGTCTGTTGTAGTCTGGCTGCCAGTAGTGCAGGATCCAAAGTAAGGGAGGGACTGAGGTCTCACTGGTCAGTTTTTAGCCTTATGGCTTCTGCTGTGGCCAGTGTCCTTGAGACCAGCATATCTCATGTTCATATCCTACAGAGAATAAAAACGATGTCCTGTGGTGAATAGGGGGCACCTTCCAGCTTTAAGAGGAAGGATAAGGTGCCATGGGGTTCTGAATTTTATCCAGCCCTCCTATGTCCAGCTCTGAGCCTCTTCCCACTGCCTACAGGGCCTAAAACTCTCAGGGGTACTGGGATGCCCTGATTTGCTACTTACATGTTCCCCTCTGTGGCTGCTCAGGTTCTAGCTCACCTAAATCATTTGTGACGCCTGGACCACTTCCTATGTTCTAAAGATATGCTGAAATTTCTCATCTTCCGGTATCTCTTCTCTTTATTCTTGTGGGTTTTAAATATTTTACTGACAGCCTTGTTCTTACATATTTAACATTTTTGAGGGCTAGGGATTTAGCTCATTGGTTCCACTGCCTGCCCTGCTAACGCAGGGACCCAAGTTCGATCCCTGGTACAAATATATATATATATATTTTTTTTTGGGGGGTGCTCTTCATTCCTTTGTATAGATCCATGTCTCCATCTGGTATAAATTTTCTCTCCACCTGAAGAGCTCCCTTTGACATTGCCTGCCATTTTCTGGCAATAAATTATCTTAGCTTTTCTTTGTCTAGAGAAGTATCTACTTCCCCTCCATTTTTGCCAGATGTAGAATTATATAGATTCAAATGTTTTTGTTTTTTTTCCTCCCAGCTCTTTAAAGATTTCATTGTAGGGCTGGGGATATAGCTCAGTGGTTCTGTGCCTGCCTGGCAAGCACAAGGTCCTGAGTTTGCTCCCAGTACCCAAAAAATAAATAAATAAATAAAAAATAAAGATTTCATTATTTTGTCTTTCTTTTTACTGGGGGTAAAACTCAGGACCTCACACTTGCCAGGCAGGTGCTATGCCACTAGGCTATATCCCAGCCCTATATTGTCTTATGGCTTACATAGTTTCTGATTATAAGTATGTACTATTTCCTATATTTGTTCTTTGTGTAAAGGGTCTCATTTCTTTGAATAAGGGTCTCATTTTTTTTCTTGCAGATTTTTTTGGGGGGGCGGTACCAGGGATTGAACTTGGGTCCTTGTGTTTGCAAGGCAGGCCACTGAACCGCTGAGCTAAATCCCTGGCCCATGGGTCTCATTTTTTGGAATGCCCTTAAGATTTCTTTTAAATAGTTAATTTTTTTTTTTTTTTTTTTTTTTTTTTTTTTTTTGTACCAGGGATTGAACTCAGGTCCTTGCACTTGAGGCAGGCGCTGGAACCACTGAGCTAAATATCCGGCCCCTTCTTTTGGTTTTTTGAGACAGGATCTCACTATGTAGTTGAGATTGATCTGGAATTCAGTAGGTAGCCCAGGCTGGTCTTGAACTCACAGTGATTCTCCTGCCTCAGCCTCCCAAATGCTGGGATTACAGGCGCTTGCGCCACCACGCCTGGCTAAGCATTTGATTTTTATAGGCCTTGGTGTAATTTTGTGTTTGTTTTGTTTAGGGTTCTTTGAATTTTTTGATCCTCTAGGTTTATATTTGCATTTGTTTTTACAACATTTTATCTCAAGTGGGTGGGTTAAAACAACAAAACTTTAATGTCTTACAATTTTGGAGGCCAGAAGTTCAAACTTGAATTTTTAGCAGGGCCACACTCCCTCCTGGTGGGAGAGACTCCTTCCTTGCCTCTTGCAGCTTCTGGTGACACCAGGCATTCTTGGGCTTGTGGCTGTATAATTCTGGCCTGTGCCTCCAAGTTCACACAGCCTTCTCTCTGTACGTGTCTCCCGAGGACACTTCTTGTTGGATTTTGGAATCACCACTAGGGTGATCTTACCCTGAGAGTCATAATCTAACTACATCTACAAAGCTCCCTTTTCCCAAATAAAGTCACATTCATGGGTTCTGAGGGTTAGAATGTGAAGTGAACCTATCTTTTTGAGGGATACTACATTTCAACCTACTAAAGTACTTTTTATCAAATTTGGAAAAATGTTGGCCATTTTTTCTTTAAATTTGTCTTACTCTCTACATCCTTAGCCTGTCAAACCACACATATGTTAGAATGCTTAATAGCATCTTACAGGTTAGTGAGGCTCTTTGAATTTTTTGTTGTTGTTGTTGTTTTACTTTGTTTTTTGGTACTGGGGATCGAACTCAGGACCTCACAGTTGCCAGGCAGGCGCTATGCTACTGAACTAAATCCCTGGCCCTTGAATTATTTTTTTTTAATTTTTATTTTTTTGGTACCGAGGATCGAATTCAGGACCTTACACTTGCAAGGCACGTGGTAGCAACACTGAGCTAAATCCCCGGCCCAGTTTTCCCCATTTCTATTGAGTCATTTCTCTTCTGATTATGGGTCACAGTCTCTATTTCTTGGCATGTCTAGAATTTTTAACTGGGGATATTGGACACTGTAAATGTTAAGCATCTGGGTTTTGTCATTTTTCTTTAATGTTAACTTTGTTCTGGGAAACTAAGTGAATTACTTATAAATAAAGTTGATTTTTTTTTTTTTTTTT